TTTAAGGTAGACAAAATAATTCATCTTTTCTTCTATGATTTATATTTATGAAATTAGAGAAAGCCTTTCCTAACTTGATGTTATAAAGCAGCCTACTCTTTTAAAGTCTTGATTTTCACATTTAATTGTATAATTTCTTTGAAGTTTATTTTTTGCATATAGAGTGAGGAAAGGGACCTAATTTTGAATCACCCTTTCCTCCACAAGGATAGGCAATTATTCTGGACTATTTATTTCTTCTCTACTCTTGATTATGCCATGCTGTCATACATATAACAGGTTCCTTTAAGTGCCTGGGTCTGCTTCATTGGTCCATTTGTCTGCCTATGTATCACTGTCACACCATTTTAACAACTATAGCTTTGTAACAAGTTTTGATTTTTGGTATGGTGAGTCCTCCTTACCTATTTTTCAAAATTTCTTGCTTATTGTAGGGTTGACTTGTCAACTTCTTAGTTGTCTTAAAATCTGTTTTGTCTGATAATGATATTCCTATGTCAGGTTTCCTTTTAATAGTACCTATTTTCCCATTCCTTTCAACTTTTTCATGTCATTATTTTTTGATTTTCTCTTAGGACCATACAGAAATCTTTTTCTTTTTTTTTCCTTTCTTAAACCCATTCTCCTAAAATGATTGTAGATTTGATAGTTTCTCCATATGGCTAAATGAGCATTTGCTTATTTTAAGATGATTTCATTAGCACTTTGTATTCTGGTTTGGGATTTTTAAGCATGCTGATAAATTGCTTCATTTTATCATTTAAATAATGATCCTATCTCATTAATAATGATTTTCTCCTTTAAGCCAGTTTTCTTAATCTGTTTTTTAAAAAATCAGGTTTTGTTGTTATACTCGGTTTTTGTTAGTGTTTACCTGGCATAGTCTTACTTTCAACCTTTTGTGTTGTTAGGTTTTACGTCTGTCTTTTGTAAATAGCACAAAACTATTATTTTCCTTTTAAATCTAGTCTTGGAATTACTGTCTTTTAGTAGATAAATTTTCATTTGTATTCATTTTACTGTGATGATCATTTCTTTACATTACTGTTTTCTCCTTTCCTGTCATATATTGGATTGATCCAGTTTTCCTTATTTTTCCTTTCTTTTTACTTTGTTTTAGAAGTTAGTATTTCACTCATGGTGTACCATTATTTAGTCTATTCCCTATTGTTGGTTGATTTTTAATTTTTGTTACTATACTAATACTTCAGTTAGCAGCCTTGTACATATATGATTCCACATGTATGCTAGTAGCTCTGTAAATACATTGTTGTACATGATTCCAGGTCAATGAGTATGTGTATTTTAACTTTTAATAAATGTAGATGATATTCTTTTAAAGGTAAACTTATCCAATAAGCAGATTTTATATGTCATATATGGTTACATATATTGAAGGAAAGGGGAAATATTTCATTTTAGGAGTGGCTATTACTGCAGTGTTATTTTTAAAGTATCCCAACATTGGTTGTTGTTATGTCAGGATTGCCTGTTAAAAAAATACTGAGGACAAAATTTCATGTATTTTTAATAATGGAATTTCTTAAAGCAAACATGGATACTGCCTTCCTTATCTGCAGGATTTAGGGAAAGCCAAATTGATGCTTGAGCATCTGTAAGGAATTCATACAAGTCAACTTGAAAAACAGTTCCTGAAATTGGAACACATATATGCCAGATACAGACAGCCCTCAACATTAGAACAATTTGAATTTCCAACATCAGCGCGTACTTGGATACATTTTCCCATTCAATTTAAGCAAGGCCCTGAGCTGGGTGTAATACTAAAAAGGTAAAAAGGATTCTCCTTTCCTACAGAAACTCAGTCTAGAAGAGAGGATAGTGTATACACAAGTTACAAACCAAACATGGGGCACAATGCGAAGCCCGTTTATAGAGGAGCTATAATCTGCTTTGGGAGCATGGAGGAGAAAGATCAGTTCTAGCTGTAACCCTTTTTGGAGTTCTTGGCATGAGTTAAGGGACCACATTGCTGAGCTGCCAGCATTTGAGAAGGGACAGAATTTTCCCAAGTGGAGACTGGGTATGATTGTTGAAGTCTTGCAGCACAGGTGAGAGGGTGAGATGGGATGGCAGTGACATTCGTGGCAATTTCATTAGTCAATCCACTCCTTGCAAGGCAAGAACTGGCAGCTGATTCCTTCTAATTGACTTTCTGTTTCACTAGGCAGCAGCTGATAGATTGGGGTTAGTTAGTATCAGGTTATTGGCTGGTTTCAGCCAGTGGTAGAACATAGGGCAGCTGGTTTTGGGGCAGTGGGTGGGTGGGTGGGGTGTGGGGAAGTCAGGTGTATCTTATTGAGGTGGTTAGGATAGTTTTGGTGAAGAGGGATGATGAGACTTCATTGGAATTTCATTGCTGCTTATCTCCAAAGAGGTCAACCACAAGACATCTCTTATCACTCAGCCCATGTTACAGACTTTCATTACAGGTGAACAGTGTGTAAACAGATCCGTATGTTGCAGCAGTTCTGCTGCACACCATTCCTACTGGCTACATCAACAGTAGCATCATGTATAAAACCACAATTTCCTCAGAGTTGGTTTATGAACCACCTCAATTTGAACCACATGGCCAGTCTCGTAAAAATGTAGTGTCCTCAGCTCCATTACAGAATTAGAATCTCTGGGAGTGGGAGCCTGGGAGCTTGGGAACATGCGTCTTGATAAGCTTACCAAGGTGAGAATCCTTTGATCTTCAGTCATATGTGGAACTATTCACTGAATTGTCTGATGAACTTTTATTTACCAAAAATCATTTCTTTCAGCTTAGTGGTATAGTGAAAATGAAATATTCACTGTACTTAAACTCATTTATGTTTTTAGACTTGGATTTGGAAAACTAATGGTGTGATTAAGTCAGTAAACATTTGAATGGGATATGAATGTGCAAGATGGTGGTTCATCCCTCAAGGATATCACTTCTATTGCAGTCATTTACATCCCAAAATAAATTAGGATATACTACGTTAAGTGCTAGTGAACTGGGAAATCCTGAGCATTACAGAGAAGGGTGAAAGAGCGATTGAATATAGAGAAGACAACATTGTGATGACATTTGAGGAATGCACGTAAAAAAATCCAGTACTTGTGTGTATTAGATGAATGAAGACTAATACTAGAGCACTTAAATTTGTTGAAATACAACAGTAACAGACAAAAAAATCCTTATGTGAACATTATTTCACTTAGCCTTACTGCTGTGGGAGAATTTGAAACCCAAAGTGGAAAGCCAAACTCTTATGTGCAAGTTTTTCCTGCCAGTTCCACTGTTTTCTAGTTATTAGAGAAGCACATGCTCTGTCAGCTTTTTGTGCTTGTGTCCCGTCTATGGGCTCTATTATTTTTCTTCAAGCTCCCTTTTCAAGTTTCCTCACTTTCTTTGAGGTATTCACTATCATCTGTTTTCAGAAAATTTCTAATACTCTATGTTCTGTATATATTCTTCAGTCCACTGACTTGACTTTTGTCTTTTCTTCCTCTTCTTTTTCTCCTAACTTTTTAGCTACTGGGTCTATCTAACTGATGACAGTGAATATGAAAGGCTTGGTCTTGACTTCTGTAAATTTCTGGGGAAGTGGATCAGATCCTAGATAATTCTCTTAACATTTTACAATTTTTAAAAATCATGTTTAGTTTGTAACTTACACACACACACACACACACACACACACACACACACACAGTCTCTCTCACACTCATATATATACCTTGTTACTTACCCCTTCCTCCAATCCAAACACATACTTACTCTTACTCATGCTTCAAGAATTTTTGTAATGACTGAATGTACCAGTCAGGAGGAATCCCTCTAAGATGAGGAGATAGGCCGTCAGAAGCCTAGGAGGGCTGGACATCAGAGAAAATCCGGGAACCTGGTTCTTTGGGTTGTCACCACAGGATTACAGTTAGTTTGGAGCTAGAGTGTTCTTGGGGAGATCTGCTGTGGTAGATCACTTGATTTAAATGACTGAAATGTAAAGGTCTGAAAGTCTGTGTTTAACAATACATAATAGACATTGTGCTTTGCACATGCATGATTTCATTTAGGCCTACATCCTATGAAATATGAAATATATTCATCATTTTACTGATGAAGAAATTGAGGCTTAGAGGAAGATTAAGTAACTTTCCTAGGCTTCATGTAAGTGTACTCAAGTGCTCTTCAAATAAGGCATTTCCCAGCACAGCTTTTCTGTAAGTGCCTTTGTAATGTTCATAGCTTTTTATTATAACAGCAGGAAAGTTATACTGCAACAGTTTATTCCAGTCCTAATGTTCTGTGACTTGGTGTCTTTAGGCAGCAAGCAGGATTTTGAAGACCTGGGACTCAAAGCAAGGAGTCCTCCAGATATACAGTGGCAGATAAAATGAATTGAAGAAACACTCTTTTTTTTTTTTGTTTTTTTTGAGATGGAGTCTCACTCTGTCTCTGAGGCTGGAGTGCAGTGGTGTGATCTTGGTTCACTGCAACCTCTGCCTCTTGGGTTCAAGAGATTGTCGTGCCTCAGCCTCCTGATGAGCTGGAATTACAAGCATGTGCCACTATGCCTAGCTAATTTTTGTATTTTTAGTAGAAATGGGGTTTCACTTTGTTGCCCAGGGAAGTCTATAACTTTTGACCTCAAGTGATCTGCCCTCCTTGACCTTGACCTCCCAATGTGCTGGAATTACAGGCATGAGCCACTGCAACTGGCTTGAAGAAATACTCTTGAATGTGTTCTGTTCTACCTGCATGGGAGCTCCATGGAACCACAAACTCATGCCAGGGGTTAGGAGAAGAAATTTATTTTGGCAGCACATACAACTTGAACAGAAAGTGGGGCAAAGCCAAGTGGGTACTCTTACATGAGAATACCGTGTCCTAGCAGTCGGGAATGTCCCCCTTAGTATCTTTATAATTTTCTTCCATTGTCTTTTTCTGTGCAGATATCTTCTAAATGATAATTTGTACTTTGCAAAAGAAAAAGCCATAATAATTATTTTAAATCAACTAAAGACTCATGAGATTTATTTGGTTACAGTCAATAACCCTGACAAAATGTTGAGAAGAGTTGTTAAAACAAGTGTATATTAAATATACTAACAATTACATTTGGTTACATATTTTTAAGTGATGGTTATGTAGAAAAACTACATAGAAATCCAAACCTTAAAAAGTTTGCAAATCAAATCATTAGCTTTTCTCTTCTCTAACAAAGTAGGGTTACTACTTCTTGGATTAATCTATAACAATGTAACACTTGATTATCTTACAGAATAATTATCTATCTCACTTAAGCCTTACATTAAGTATTATCCCCATTTTATGGATGAAGAAACAGGTTTAGAGTGGAAAGGTGGATTCTCTGCTTACACGGCAGTATTATGTGGCTAAGCTATTGAACTTGAACCTAGGTTTGGGTCTTCACTTCAAATGTGAAATTTTTTGATTAAATGTTTGTATCTTGTACAGAAAAAACATCCCATTAGCTTTCAGATGTTATTTACCATGCTAATTGTTAAAAATATTCTATTTAAAAAATTCAGGGTCACAGCCTTTCAATTTCCCTTTAAGAGTCAAATCAAAGTATTACTTTTAAACTGAAGTTGTCTAAACAGGAAATTGTTACATAGGGGAAAATACCAATTTTTAAATCTTTTAAAAAATGTTGCCAGACAATCCATAATATAAGTGGAGGTTAGTTGTCCTTCTAATTTTTAACTACAAAAATATGATAGAAATTTATGTTTAGCTCACATTTCTAACAGTTGAATCAAAGGTGCTTATGAATATTACAATGAACAAGCCAAAACCTGCAGTTAAAAATGACATGAATACATTTTCTGTTAAGGATAAAAACAAATGTGGATGTGACGTTTAAATGAAAATGTTTGCATTTAGGATACTACTGATAAATCTTTTAAATAACCTTACTTTTAAAACTTAGTTTAAGGTTGAGCATCCTAGTGACCAGATTATGATGAACAAAATTGAAAAATGGTAAAGCCTGAAGTCTTAAGTTTATCCAGCAGGGTGACTCATGCTTCTTTGTCATCCTCCCACGGCAGAAATTTGTTCCATGTGAATGCTAGTAACAGGCATCATACCCTGTTAATGCTAACATGTAGGAGTCAGTTGGAGGTAAAAACCCCTATCACGATTAGCATTAACAGCATACAGCCTTCAGAACTCAGAGGATGAGGCATAAAGAATTTAAACCACAGATTTCCCCTTCCTGGTTTGTGCCACCTGCAAGAGAGAAAGAAATGTTTGTGTACGCACATGTGGTTACAAAGCTGGAGTAAATCTGAAAGGAAAATCGTCCATTTTCTGTTGAAAGGAGGGAGCTCATTAAATCCTAGGAAGTCATTTGTTGAGAGTGGTAGAGGAATTGGCAATTAAAACATGACATTGTTACCTTTAGGCATATTTGAAGGCTTTTAAAAAAATTGTGTTTTAAATTCTATTCTCTAGTTTTGAACCAGGTACATACGTGTATCATCTTCAAAACAAAAACAAAAACTACTCTTCAAAGTTTCCAAATGCCAAAATGCAAACAGGGAAGCTTGCATTCTGACACAGTACAGTTTTTTTTTTTCTGATTTATACTTCATCTGGGAGCTAGACAACTAAAGGCCCAAATATTCAAAATAGTCCTTTATGATTTATGAATATTAAAACCCAATTGACCTGTTTTACAAAGGTAGGGTTCAGGCTGAATTTTTCATTCTGTAATAAATCATTGAAGTTTTACCTTTATTCTTTCGGAAATATGACACAAGCAGTGGAGGTTTGCCTACCAATGAATCTATCTGAAAATGTTCCCATCTGCTATTTAGAGATTCCTTTGGGGAAAGCATTACCCAGTGGCTTTGGTCTTGACTACATAAAGGAAGTATGACTTAAAGAGTCCTCTGTGTTTTGAACTACGTGTCCTAGGCAAAGGGTTGATTAAAAAAAAGAACAAGATGAATTTGCTACTTCCTTTTAGAGTCTGATTTTACTCTCTCAGATAAAGTGACATTTCTCCCACAGGTTTCTGATTTCAGTGTTACTATAGCAGAACCTAGAAGTTAGAGTATCATTCAAGTATGTGGTCTCTTTCAGTACAAGAGGGGAATCACCTTTTCTTTTATTTAATAATGAAACCAGCTAGATATAAAAATGTGACTAAGTTCAAAAGAAACATATAAAGTAAAAAATTCCCCAGTGAATATATTTTGACGGGGCAGAATATCGTGGTTTGGAAATTTCCAAACCACGGAAATGTATCATTTTTACTGATAGTATTTTTTTTAAAACTCTGCTGTTTTCTGAGATGAATTAGTTGATGATGAAAAACTTTGGATTAAGTGATGTCATTTCAGGAATTGAATTCATTTTATAGAATTTCAGTCAATAAAGATGATAAAAATAAGGACTTTCCCCCCCCTTACAGGATCTTGGACATAGTAAATGCTCAGTAAATACATATTAATAATCTAGTGTTTGTTCTTCCCTCCCCAGCCAATATAACTCAAGCTTTTCTTAAAAAGATGTGTTTAATTTGTATTGAAGGTAAATTGCTTGCATACTATTCTACCCATAAATTTTACTCCTGTTCTTTAAAGATAACATATGAGCACCAGTATTAAAATAAATATATTTAGTATAATAATTGGCGTTTTCATCTTCTTAAATATACATATGAATTGCCTGATTAGAGCACTTGGAAAAGTGACAAGTGTTTTTGATAATGTGTTACACTGTATTAAAAATCCTAAGAGCTTTTTTTTATTGGTTCAAACTCTAAATGTATTTTGAAATAAAAAGTGTCACACAGGTCCCTTTTGTTCTCAAAGACAACCTTGTCATACAGGCGTGATGAATTCCTAACGCTGTAGAGAAATAAGAAATTTGTCTAAATATACTGTCAAATCTTAAGTCATATTTAAAACACAATGATAGATGAAAAACAGTAATGAACAGAATAAAGGAGAAAATATCCCAGAATTGTTTTTTCTTTTTAAATTTAAAAATACTCAGTAGACTTTTAAGGACATTAGAATGACTAGAAGATCATTCCTCCATCAGTGTGGCATCTATGTCCACTTACAGTGTTTTTGACTGGGCTAAGCAACCAACAACAGAATTGTCATGTGCCTGAGTGGGAATTAGTGGTCATAGACAGCAAAGGCCAGTCTGTTAGCCAAGGCATTGGGCAGAGGGGCTTTCATGAGGTAATAAGAAATGAAGTAGTTCTTTCTGGAATCAGTGTGGCCAGGTAAAGTGGCTGAGGAAGAATTATACACAATTATAGGCCCGACAATCAATAGTGACAATGCTAACCAAGTAAGACTGTGACAAGCATAATATTTAATGTACAGCAATACAAGAGGAATTTATATGAATTATACATTAGAAATTAGATTGGGGTCTTTGACTAGGTAGTTCTGCCGATGTACTTCCAATCCCCTCACTCCACAATACATCTTCTGCTTACCGCATGAAATATCCATTGTCAATATAAGCTTTACTATATAGCATAGGTTCCAAGTTAAGTGTTCTTGATAGAATTACTACTCACTGCCTATCAAAATCTCACAATGGATAAAAATCTACCAAGAGGAAGCACTGTGTACCAGATTAATGATAATACCAAATATCTTTTATTATATGACAGGCAATTCTTCTTCTGGTAGTAGGAATGAAAGTGAAGGAAACACTTAGGTGAGTTTTTCTTAAATTATGCTTTCCTTAAGGACATTTTTTTTGGCGGGGAGGTGTGAGCATAAGATTTCAGAATCTTATCCTTTTATTCTTACCTTGTTGATTTTCCAGGAAAGATGTTATCAAAACTAATATTCAGAGCATACTATGCCCTAAGTTTGTCATTAAGATCTGGTTTGTCCTTCAAAAAAATTTTTTTTATGGTGAAATATACATAACATAAGTTTAACATCTTAACCATTTTTAAGTGTCCAGGTCAGCTATATTAAACACTTAGTCATTATGTTCTGCAGCCATTGTTACCATCCATCTCCATAACTCTTTATCTGGTAAGGATCTCGTTTTATGTCTAAATCATAGGTTATGTCGTTGCACAATTATATATGTATTTATATTATTTGGCTGCTTATTCTTAGCACCCACCATTTAATATTTGCATACCGAAGGAATTGCACACCATAAGGTCTTCTTTTTTTTTTTTTTTTTTTGAGACGGAGTTTCGCTCTTGTTACCCAGGCTGGAGTGCAATGGCGCAATCTCGGCTCACCGCAACCTCCGCCCCCTGGGTTCAGGCAATTCTCCTGCCTCAGCCTCCTGAGTAGCTGGGATTACAGACACGCGCCACCATGCCCAGCTAATTTTTTGTAATTTTTAGTAGAGACGGGGTTTCACCATGTTGACCAGGATGGTCTCGATCTCTTGACCTCGTGATCCACCCGCCTCGGCCTCCCAAAGTGCATAAGGTCTTCTTTAAAAAAAGTTACAGTGGTCGACTTTCATAACGAAAGCAGTTGTGGGATAGCTCTCATTTTATTCATCCTGAAATATGCAAATAATTTAAAACTGCAATTTGTTGTTACAAAGCAAATGTACATCTATTTCTATTGGAAGTCGTCTTATATTGATGTAGCAGTACAAATTCTAGGTCCAAAGCCATTTTATTAGGTGAAATGTAACGTAATTATGTTGCAGAAAATTAAAGTGATTTAGTTTAGGTAACTTCCTCTAAATATTTTCCCACTTTAACGTTTATGTGTACCAATCAAAAACATAATCATTAAGATGGAATAATGTTAATTCCTATTTAGATCCATTCGCTAAAAGCGATTAGCATATACTTGCATATGTGGAAGCAGTATCTGGCTTTTCTATCAGAATTCATTCTGATTCTTTATATTCTAAAGCTGCAGTTTTGGTTTGCATCATGAAAGTAAGCAGTGATTAATGCAAGGGTATAAAAATCAGGATTCTGTGACATTTTGGACTTGTCATAATCTTTAGAATAATGATTTCTAGAGTCAAAAGTTGAAAGTCACTGTAAACGTGATGCCCCAACCACCTGCCTCTATAAAAACTCTGCATCTTTCAGAATGTTTTCCTTCCCTTTTACTTAAGACAGAATTCCTTACCCTTAGAGCCATCTCCTTTGGGTGGGAGAGCCAAGGTGACAGGTAAGGTCTCTAGTAGGTTGTTCTTGAAATGCAGACAAGTTATCTGGGGAAAGAGGGGTAGGGTTGAAGTTGACACAACACCTTAGACTTGTTTATTAGGTTAGTTAGCTAGTCATCTTTGAAAGTAGCCATCAATGGCCGAGGAGTGAGGACCCATGATAGGTGGATTTTAACGGGAATAAAGAGTAATAAATATAGAGGAAAGATAAGGATATGCCCCAAATAGTTTGGTAGTTCAATAGTTTTTTATTTATAATTTAAGCTCACACTTTTCATGTCCAGCATAAACCAGCAACAAATTAAGTATTTAGACTATCACCTGAGTTTTAGTTCTCGGATTTTCAACCTCTACATGCTATAAAATGTCATATGAAGTGTTTAATTTCTCAGTAATTCTTCATAAAGACCGTTAATACACTCTGGCAAAAAGAAAATCCAAATGTCTGCCTTTCTAATGTGTATTTATTTGTATACAGTTTATCACATATTTTCTGTAGAATATGATTCTGTGTTACATTTCAATAACTGACGTTAAAGATCAGTCAACTTCTCTGCTACCAGGGAATGAGGCAAAGACAATTATGTTTCCTCTTGAATTCACATGAGTTCTATCATTAACAAGGGATTGATGGTGTGACTTACTACTGATTGAGATGGTGGCCAACTGGGGTTATGTCTTCTGAAGCACACAAACTCATCTTCTAAGAGTAAAGGTGGATTGTTCTGTAGGAATAACTTACATCCTGAAATCTTGGTGAATGATAAGATCACCACTTTTCAGATCATTAACTTTACATATAAGAAAAATTCCCCGAATAAGCCATTCCTGGGGGAAATATTATAAATTTGCCCTATCATGATATTTCATTTACTTCTATAAAAACTTAACATCACTTCTTAATATTTCTAATTGGGAGCTCTTTATTGAAAAATATCGACTATTTCTAAATTAAGAGCTCCTTATTGAAAATAGCAGATTATACACTAAATAGCATAATATTCTTTTTTGTATTTGAGAATTTAGAAAATAAATATTTTTAAAGATATATGCCAATGGTGATACTTAACACCTAAAGGTGGGATGTACTTCTGAACTGTCTTGGAAGGAAACCAATGTGGATATTACAGAATCACTGTGGAAATGTTATATATCAGTGACCATTTAGTTGTAAATGCACAAAAGAGAAAGAATGTCAGCCTTAGAGGATTATCCTACTTTTCTCAATTGTAGAACCAGGAAGTTTTTACTGAAATGGCTTTGCGGAACTTATTTAGAAGCTAAGTAACCTTCTCAATAGTTTTATTATGGACAGTAATTAGTATTTTTACTTTTCAGATAAGGATGTGTTAAAAAAAATGGTTAGGAATTCCTCCCCCCACCAGACTCATTCTGTGGAATAAGCAGAAGCAGGATGACAGCCAGCTGGAGTCTGACTCCCTGACGTGGGCTAGTGTGTCCCAGGGAGGGACTCACTTCCTCAACACCCTGACATCACACTGGCTCAGTGGCAGGTCTGGCTGTTCTGAAATGTTACAGATTAAATGTGAATAAAGCTGTGGGTAGAAAGGGGAGAGCTCGTGGGAGAGATGCATTCTGTGGCTTTAAATGATGGCCATTCTTTCTTATTTCTTAGGTCCACAAAACATTTTCCATTTGCCTAACAAACTTTTTAATATCATACTTCCATAAGATAATTTTAATACTTTTTAAAATTTATAATTTGATTTTGATGTCCTTTCTCCCCACTCCCAGGGAACCGAAAATCGGATGGCTGTTATCTGCTCTGGAGTGTTTTGTTACCCTTCCATGAGGCCTCCTTTGTTCATTTGAGTTCACTGTTTATGCTCAACACTGAATTTCAACACAATGCCTCATTTGGAACTTATTATGTGTTACCTGTTTGTTATTTATATCCATATGCTGCATCATGGGAAAAAATTCCTTTTCTATTTCTGTAAGCCACAGTTTATCTTTTTCTCCTTCCACATACCATAATGGCCCCAAGCAAGGAAGAATTTGTGTACTAAAAACTATTTAAGGCAAACAGAGAAAATTCTGTAAACAAAAGGTTTGGTTTTGCCCTTCTAAAAATTGGTTGTCTTACATGGATGGGATACCCTGTGTTATAAGGCAAAGACCATTTACTAGTTACATTCTCATGACATTTGACCCAGTGCTTTTACAAACCAATTGAGGGTCATGTTTGCTGCTCCACAAGATGTTATCATACACACTCTTAGGCACTAGATATACCTCCTTCAGGGTGTTCAAGTATGGACCTGTCCTCTTTGCCTTCCTTCTCTTGCTCTCTCAGATAGCACAGTCCTGGAGGCTGTTTTCTCCTCCTCTCCTGTGGGACCCTGCTTCCCTGTCTTCCCCAAGGTGGCTATCCCTCTCCCCATCCTCTGTCAGAGCACTTATCACACTGCATGGTAATGATTTCATGTGTCTCTTCTTAGTGCTGAGGTGTATGTGATGGCAGAGACTGGGTCTTCACTCAGGGCTGCATATACAGCTGACAGATATGCACTAAATACATTTGAATAAATGTTTGAGAGTCTCCAAAGGCATTTCTTTCTGCACAGTGGGCTTTTATTTGGCACTGGAGCATTTCAGGACTTAACTGATATGCAGGTTCTTGGAGGATTTAGTAGAAGTTTACAAATATGGAGATATATTAATAAGATTTGTTGGCATTCCAGATTAGCAGTGGACCCTTTTTAGAAGATTCTGTCAAGTATAAACAACATAAAGTTGGAGAATACTGGTAGATTTCATCATCTGGACTTGTGGGTAAAAATTAGGTTTCATCCCTAATTTTAAAAATTACTCTTGGATGCCATAATCATGTGTTTTCATTGCATAGAACCATGTTTTTGGTCTTAGGAGATCTGTGCTGAAGCATTTAGAAGTTAGATGACAGGTTTGGAGAGAGAGAGAGAGAGATAGGGACAGAGAGAGATAAATCAGTATGGCAAATATTAACAATTAGCAAATCTAACTGAAAAGGAGTGTTCATTGTTCTGTTGTGTTCAACTTGCCTGGGTTTCATTCCAGACCTCTCCAGTGTAACTGCCTGTGTGGTATTTGGCAAGTTAATAAACCTCTTTAAGTCTTAGTTGCTTCTCTAAAAATGAAGATAAAGATAGAACCTACTCAGAAAGTCTTTGTGAAAATGAAGTGGCAATGTAAAGGATTTAGTCAGGTGCCAGCCTCAGAGTCAGGGCTCACTGAATGTTAGCCACGATACTAATGACATCGGTCATCAATACTTGCTGAGTACCTTATAACCCTACTTCTATCATATGTTCCACTTGCTATTTTAAAAGTACAATCCCAGATATATTTTCCACTGTGTAATTGAACCATTGTATAAATTAGAGGTTATCTGCAAGCAGGTAAAAGCTGTGTAAAATAATTCTTTGGTTTATCCTAATCTTTAAGTCATAAAGTAACTGCTAAAAGGTACACCAAAATGTTTTCTTGGAAATAATTTTCAGAACTGTTTTAGTAGGTTTTCTTTTGGATATGCATTCTGAAACAAAAATTATAAAAGCCACTTGAGGCCCACTTGACCTCGTCTATTTGGCACAAAATGTAAACTAAATTATGAGCATCATTAGATACTTGGCCTTTTCAAATCACACAGGGTCCTGGATCTGCTGTGTGATGCTGAAGTAACTTCACTTCTCTGGGCTTCAGCTCCCTCAGTGTGGTCTCTGAAAATTCATGACACGGTAAAAAGTCTTTGAAAGTCTCTACTTTCTCAGACTGCAGTTGTACCTCACCTTCCAGATTGATTTCTTATAATACACAAGATCATCCATTTCAACATAATAATAGGAAACACCTACACAGCTCTGTGCCAGGCACCTAAGTGTTTGATGTATACTAACTCAGGAATTCCTCCTCACCACCTTAGGAATCAGTACGCACATCCTCCCCATTGAAACACAGGGTCTTGAGGCACAGGCAGGTGAAGTAACTTGCCCAAGGTTAATCAGTGAGTACGGAGCATGCTGTTGCGATGCCCACCTGGGCAATCTGGCACCCGTTTCTCATGCTCAGAACCATTATGTGTGTGAGCATATAAAAGACCATAGCATTTTGTTCAGATAGCCAGGAATTTATAATTTGTGTAGAACACTCTCGTTTATGGAGAACTGGCATAAATGTCATTGTAGGTCATTGTTTCACCTTATCCAAACATCAGCCTCGCAATTCCATTAAATCAGCTATTTGATATTCTTCACTAATCTTTCCTTCTACCAGTGCCTTGACCCTGTCTACCTACACAAGGTAGCAGTATCTGTGCTAATCCGTCCTAATAATTAGTACAGATATTAGCGATCTGTGCTAGTTGATTAATATCTCTGCTGTTTCTCAGAATTAGCACAGACATTCACAGTCTGTTTTAAACTACAGCCACTTAACGTATGTTAAGCCTCACTTTCTGGTGAGTGTGTCACTGTGTGTAAGGGTGGTCATTTTAGGAATCAAGTGTTCTTCCACATTGCTGAGCTTTAGACTTGTGAGTGAAGCTGCTGAATGGCTCAGACAGGATGTGCTTATTTGAGGATAGATGTGCTTTTGTGCCAGTTTTGCTGGAGGATCTCAATATTGTAAGCCCAAAGATATTGATTGATGGACAGAACTTAAGTGCTTCAGGGCAGATGAGAATTACACAGCAGTGATCATATTAAAAGCATTGCATTTCCTTAAGAGTCTGAGATAAGGTAATTTTTTTCATATATATATATATATATATATATATATATATATATATATATATGATATTCATATATATAAATTGTAACCAGAGAGAGGTGGGATAAAAGAGACTTAAATTGTAATATTTTTCCTTGAAAAATAGTGTTTCACAATTTTTTTATTCTCTTTAATTTAAGGAAACATGTAACAGTTTTGAGTCCAGTAAGGTCAGTGAAAGACAAAAATACATTCTATAGTGAATTACAGTGGTACTTACTCTTTCTTTGGACATAGAGGATATAAATTCACTAAGACCAGCTGTGTCTCACGAGGTATATGAAAGTAAGCTTGGTAGTTACACTGGAATCCCAGAATTTCATCACTGAAAGGGATTTTAGAGATGACTCAGTCCCTGTTACCCATCTTAGAGATGAGAAAAATGAGGCACAGAAATTTGCAGAGTTGGTACTAGAAACAAACCGTGATTCTTAGGCTGTGCTCCTTCTCCAGTAGCAGGCTTCTGCAGAGTGGAGGCCTATTATCAAAACAATAAGGCTGTTGAAATCAGTAGCTTCAGCTAAGCAATAGCCAATGACTAACAGAAATGGGGACACCAACTAGTTAAGGACAGAGGTGCTCACCAAGTGAAGGCCAAGAGTCTACATACCACTTTCCTCTATTCAAGCTATTTATGCCTGCTAGGTTTAGAATATTGATTATGAAAGTGAACCTGCAAAGTGAACCCTCAATGCTCATGGCTGAGATTAAAGGAAGCCTCTAGCCTGCTGACATCAAATTCAAAATTGTGTGTGAGGATGCACATTAAAAAACTTTTTCTGAGAGGAGCATACATAACTTCCATTAGATTCTCAAGGAGGTAGGAATAAAGGAATTGAATAACTATTACTTTAAAATGAAAGAATTTCTTTAAATTGAATGGTAGATCTTATGGCATGAAAGCTGATAAAAAAAACTTTTTAAAAGTTAAAATGTAGGGCTTTTTGGGGTAGAGTTTTTTGGTTTGCAGAAGTCTGTTAAGATGAGCTGTTGAAAGGTGAAAGTTACACACTTTCCATGTTGGCACATGTAAAGTAAAGAATGGCAAAATTCATAGCACATTCTAATTCATTCATGTATTTATGTTACTGAAATTGAAATGATATCAAATTGCATAGCAATGTTCTGATAGCCTTTCCTCTAACTTTTTGGGTTTGTAAGGGTAGGGTTGTGCCTATCTTGCTCACCTTTGCCTCTCCCGCCTCTAACATAGCGTCCAGCACAGACAGACTGTGATGACTTTTTTTTGGGGTAAATACCAATTAATTACACTTTTGACACATGATTAACACAAGAGTAGACATTTGTGCTAACACCATGGTTCTCCCTTGAAGTGGTTGTAGGTCTCAGCCAGTGCTAATTTTTCTCTTTCTTAATGTGTGTGGTTAGGAAGCCAGGTCCTGTAGCTGGAGTAAGTGGACCCACTATGTGAGGAAACCTGCTTAACACAGCCTAATAAGGAGTAGTTCTTGTGGCATAAGTCAATACTAAATGTGCTTTGGTCATTTGACAGAAATCAGGGAGGCAGCAAGGAGTCATGGAAATGAGCCCAAACTGAGAGTCAAAAGCCTGTGGTCTGCCAACACCCCTAGCCCACATTCATACCTAAAAGCAGGCTGTGCACTAGGGACCTAGTGACCTTACTAGAAAAAACTCATTCTCAGAGGCACAAGTCCTCATGGGCAAAATGTGGATACCACCACCGAACCCTGCCAATTTCCTATCATTGTGACTATCAAATTAGCCCACAGGCAGGAAATTGCCTTGAAACTTTTTGTAGCTTGTATTACTGTTCACATAGATAAGCAATTAACTTTACATATGTCCATTTTTAAAACATCAGTCCTGTGATTAAAAGTTCGACTATACGTTATGCTTAAAGCCCTATAAAAGAGGCAGTACTTTGGAGAGATGTCGATTACAAGCAGTAATTTTGGCTTTGGAATATATACATAATGTCCACTTGACCTCATTTCTTTGACACAAAATGTAAACTAAATTATAAGCATCATTAGATACCTTGGCTTTTTCAAATCACACAGGGTCCTGGATCTGCTCTGTGGTGCTGGAGAAGTAAGTTAACTTCTCTGGCCCTCAGCTCCCCAATTTTTGACATACTTTGCATTCTTATATCTTTGTCAGCTGTCAACTTCAGTATTTTCAGGTTAAATTCTATCCGTAGTCATCCCAATATACCGGCTTTAGATGATACAAACTTCAAAAGATCCGGCTCTCCCTCGTAAAACGTGGAGAACAGACATCACGCGGGTTTTGTGAGAGTAAAGAAAGGCAACCGCTCAGCAGAAACGCACCCTGGCACAACGGGTGTGAATAAATACAGAAGCTCACTGAGTGTTTGCTCTGTCTTCTTTTCTATTAAATGAAGACTCTGATATCTAAAATGCTATGAGTCTAACTTTGTAAATATTAAGATAGATTTGTAGTTATTTTTCAAGATAAAATAGAAAAGACACAAGTTTTGAAGGCAGTCTCTTTTGATCCACCCTGCCCCACTAGTGTGTTATACACACTTCTCTGGTTGCTCCAAAAGGGAAGCTGGTCCAAGGCCATATCACAGGTACCTCCCCTATCATCCCAGGAAACTTTGCAAAGAAGCTCAAGTATTAGGTTTCTAACACCCCTCCTTCCCCCGCCTCTGCCCGCGGGAATCCATCCAGCGCAATCTCTGGTCCCCGGCGAGGCGACACCTCTGGGGCCCCAGGGGGCACCCTCAGGCGCAGGGGGGCCAGGCCAGGCTCTGCGGCCACGTGCGCGCCGCCCCTATCCTGCCCTGCCAGTCGGCCCCGCGGCGACCCTCGCACCGAGGTCCCTCCCTCGTCCTTGCCATGTTCAAGAGAGGAAAGGCGGGCGGGAGGGCGAGACCGAGGTCGGCGTACCTGCTGTGCCAGGAGCGTCTCCTTGGTTCCCCGCGCTGGCTCTGCGGGCGGCTCGGGACTCCGCGGTCCGCTCCCTTCCCGAGGCTGCAGGCGGCGCTGGGGCCCGGGCTCGGCCGCTCACAGGAAGCCCGCGCCTGCGAACGTGCGACCCTTTTATAACTCACTGTGACTCATAACCGACCAGGCGCCTTTCTGCAAACTCCCCGCTTCTCCCCCCTCCTGCCTGTTCTTGGAACCTACAGCTTGAAAACTTTTTTCTTTTTAAAGGAAAAGTCGAAAAAGCCCAGTGCCCGGGGAATTGGTGTTTTCCCCTTTCCCTTTCTCGTGTGTCGCTGCGTGTGTGTATTTTTTTTTCTCGCGACACGCGCCGTGTACTTTCCTGCGCCCAGTGCTGCAAGGCTCAGGCTCCAACCTTTGTTCTTAAAGAAAAGGAAATGCCTTCAAATGACGGCCCAGACGTCGCCCGAACTTTCAGTCGGCCTGAGGGGGAAGTGGCAACTTCTTGCAACTGGGTGGCAGGGGTATCTCTACTTGCAGGGAGCCCAAGAGGAGTGGGAGGTTCTTCCTCCTCGACCGAGTCAGCTGGAGTCAAGCAGGTCCCTAACAGAGGAAGAAATGGTCTTCAGGCGATCCTGTATCTCATCCTCACCTCAGCACCTTTCAAGAGCCCGCGTTTGGTTTGGAATATGTAACTGGGCTTTGAGAAGGTTTGTACTGTGTCTGGTACCCACATTCGGGATGTCAAGATATAGGACTTGAAACTTTTAAAATTTTGACCTCACCAACATTCTCCCCCTGTCCTCCACTACCATCCCCAGGACATATTCCTGGAGCATATGGGACTTCGGTCATTTTAATTTTTGGTTTCATCGCCACTCTTTTTCCTGCACCCTGCCACAAAGGGGGCATTTTCCTGGAGCAACCATTTGATTTTTGGGGATGGAAAAGAACAAATAGATTCTGCAAGCCTAGTCGAGTAACTCATTCATGAGTCTAAGTTCAATAAACGTTGAGACCTTGAAGAAGAAGGAAATATGAGGAAGAGAAGGAGGACAGGAATAGACCTAGCCTCATCATCATGTGACTGGGGCCTTTTTGTAAGAAAGACAGGGCCACTGCTGGCTTGTACTGCAAGGAGCCAGTACCTGGGCCCTCCCTGTCAAGGGCATAAGACATTTTAAAATAGTTTGTATTAAGCTGATATCAGTCAGTTTCTAGGACCCATGAATCCATGTCAGAGCTGGCATAGTACTTAATTCACAGATGGCTCAGGTTGGTTAAGGAACTTGGGAACATTTTCAAACCCTCTTTTCTTAAGATACATGTTTTTCCCCTTATATTCAAACAACAATAGTCATGATGATAACCACTAACACTTATAAAGCATTTAACATGTTCTAGGTCCTGTGCTAACACTTCTTATATGCATTAACTCTTCCAGTTCTCACTACGATCATATGAGGGAGGAGCATTATAATCTCTATTTCCAGATGAGGAAACTGAGCACAGAGAGATTAAACTTGTTAACTTAGGTCCTAGTAAGTAGTCAAGCTGAGATTCAAACTCACTTCCAAGCCTGGAGGGCTGGCACCATAGTCCAGTCTCCCTGCTTTCCAAATCCATGTGACATTGAGGAGCCGGGGAAGCTGTACAGGGAGGGGGGCATGTGACAAGGATGCATGGTCCCCACCCAGGTGGGCCATGTTTCTCTGCTGGTTATAGATGCCTGCAAGGCCTTCTGAATTTCCCATTTCTCATTATAGGTTGAACTATATGAAATTTCCCATAGGCAATTCTAGGATGACCTTTTATCCCTAGAATGGCAAGTTTGTATAATTCAGTTTAATAGAAGCAGGACATTTATAAATCTTCCCTTCTTCCAGTGATGGAAGTAATTTCAGGTCATGTGCAGACCTCCCCATTTTAGATCCCAGTTTGAGATACCCAGAATAGTGGATGGAGAAATGGGTTTTAGAAGTCAAATCCACCTGCATTTTACATTAATTCTAGCTGTGGAATCTGAAGGTTAACCTTTTTATGTCTCAGCTTCCTATAAATGACAATAATAATGTCTCCCATTAGGGATTGCTATGAATTGAATCATATTCTCCTCAACTTCATATGTTGAAGCCCTAACCCACAGTGTTATCCCCATTTGGAGACAGGGCCTGTGAGAAGGTAATAAAGGTTAAATGGGGTCATCAGGGTGGATCCCAAATCTCATAGAGCTAGTGCCCTTATGAGAAGAGGAAGAGGCACCAGAATTCCCTTTCTCTCAGAGATCAGACAAAGCAGAGGTCATGTGAGTATGCAATGGCTTGGTTTCCTATAAGCCAGGAAGAGAGTCCTCACCAGAAACCAAACCCTGCAGGGTTTTGATCTGGAACTTTCTAGCCTCCAGAACTGCGAGAAAATAAATTGTTGTTGTTTCAGCCACCCAGTGTGTGGTTTTTTCTTGTGGCAACCCTAGCTGACTAAGAGGGATATATATGATGATTAAATAAGGTGATGGATAAAAAGTACCTGGTCCAAATGGATAGCTTGAGAAAGTAAGGGCTGGCCACCTGCCAAGACAAATATTATCCCATGGATGTCATTGTGGGCTGAATCCTGTTCCCCTCCTGCCACCTCCCAAATTTGTATATTGATGTCCTAACACTCAGTACTTCAGACAAGATTGGGTGCATGCAGGGTGTTATGGCCGTAGACCACCCAGTACTTCAGAATATAACCTTATTTGGAAACAGGGCCTTTGTGGATGTAGTTAGTCAAGATGAGTTCCTATTAAAATAGGGTGGGCTCCTAATCCAATATGACTGGTGTCCTTAGAAAAAGAACATGATGTGTAGAGAAAGAAACGTGTAGAAGGAAGAGAGTGTGAAGAAACACTGGGAGAAGATGGCCATCTACGAGCCAAGGAGAGAGGCTTGGAACAGATCCTTTCTCCACAGCTCTCAGAAGGAACCAGTCCTGCTGACATTTTGATCTTGGACTTCCAGCTAACAGAACTGTAAGACAGTACATTTCTGTGGTTTAAACCACCCAGTTTGTGGTGTTCGGTCACAGCAGCCCTCACAAAGTGATACAGATGTATCTCCAGGGCTGATGCGGCTGGTGTTCTCATCCCTCCCTTTACCATCCAGATACTGAGCAGCTTTCAGCAGTGATCTTCCAGATAAGAGTGGTACTTCTTGATATTACTTAATATTGATAATGAGGAATAGATTGTGACAGCTGGCACAGCTACAGATCAAAGTCTTGCTAAAAACATCATAGGTTCATGAAATTCTACAGAAACCACAATAATTTAGGAACCAGCTTCCAATCTCTCTCCTTAAAAAATAAGTGGCAGAAAAAAATAAAAATAGTTTCTGGGGATTTAGTACTCAACGATCTTGAAGCTCAGCCCTTTGGAAGAATGTAAGAGAGAGACATCTCTCAGTGGATAACACGTTTTAGATAGTGGGTGAAGAAACAGACCCACATTTCAGGCTTGACCAGCTTATTTATTGTGGCACAGGGTTTCAGTTTACTGTTTACCCTGTTGTACAATAACATGGAGATGATTAATTATTCTGTGAACTTCTGGTTGCTCTTCATCCCTTGGGATGAAGCGGGTTGAATTGGCTTCCTCTGTACTCCGTCAGTGGCACAACCATAATTAATGCCTGAGGCTAAAAAATGTAGCCATAAGATATTCAGACTTCATACAGAGTGTTTGTTTTTATTTTTCACAAACAAAACATGAGAGAGTTTTTTCCTATTATAATTTAATTTTTATTTCTTTCACTGTTTATGACATTTGGAAGCCCAATTCTGGTCTGTGTTGTGTTCACCCACATTTCCTCTGTAAACGGGTTGCTGCTTTGGAGTGTTCTGTGATACTCCTAAGGATGCCTTTCCCTTCAGAGGGTAAAGGAGTGGCTTTTTTTTTCTCTCTCTCCATCAAATAGATGAAATTTACAAATTAGAGAGAATTAACTTTTTAACCTTATTTTTCCCATTCACCCATCCACAGAGAAAAGTGGAATAAAGTCAAACCTCTGCAAAGGAGGTTTTCCAGTTTTCTGCAGTGAGTTACAGGCTATGTTTAGCTGTGCTCTAATTGTTTAATCATTTGTACCCATAAAATGCCTCTTAAGAATTCTTTTGTCTATACATATACTGCCTTCCATAGATAACTTTTTTCATAAATGTAATATTTAAAGGTTTTGGTAATGTGCATTTTTTGCTCTTGGCTCATTTCTTCATTTGTACATTTTGGGAGGCCAGGTTGTCACAGTCTTTTGGAAATTTTCATAGAACAGAGGAAAAGTTAAGTTCTGGGGAAAAGACCAAGATTCTCAAAATATTTTGGTTCATTAGCAACCTTGGCAGGGAGCCATTCTGCTTCCATATAGATGTTATCATCATCACATCACATATAGAGAAATTTGCTCCATCTGCCCCACCCATAACACTCACTTCCCTCAGTATCTGACCTCAGTCATATTCTTTTTTGTTTGTTTTTGTGACGGAGTTTTATTCTTGTTACCCAGGCTGGAGTGCAATGGTGTGATCTCGGCTCATCGCAACCTCCACTTCCCGGGTTCAAGCGATTCTCCTGCCTCAGCCTCCTGAGTAGCGACCTTATCGATATTCTTATCTCAACTGGCCTAGCTCAGTGTTTTAAGCTTCAGTTTGTGAATTGATGAGTCACTTGTAGTAAATTACTCTACACTGTCTTTTTTCCCCCTCTCCTTCCTCTCTGAAATAACTGGGGAGACTTCTTTGAGCATCAATAATGTCTGTTGTTATTTTTTTCAATTTTTATTTTATATTCAGGGAGTACATGTGCAGGTTAGTTATAAGGGTATATTGTGTGATGCTGAGGTTTGGGGTATGATTAAACCCATCACCCAGGTAGTGAGCATAGTACCCAATAAACAATTTTTTATCCCTTGTCCTGCCCCTTCCCTCCCCCATCTTACAGTCCCCATTGTCTCTTGTTCCCACTGTTATTTCCATGTGTGCCCAATTTATTTTTTTTGAGACAAAGTCTTGCTCTGTTGCGCAGACTGAATTGCTTACTGCAAACTCTGCCTCCCAGGCTCAAGTGATTCTCCTGACTCAGGCTCCTGCGTAGCTGGGACTACAGCTGTGCACTACCAGGCCAGGCTAATTTTTGTTTTTTAAATACAGACAGGGTTTCTCCATATTGGCCAGTCTGATCTTGAACTCCTGGCCTCAAGTGACCCACCTGCCTCAGCTTCTCAAGGTGCTAGGATTACAGGCATAAGCCACCATGCCCAACCATGTGTATTTAATGTTTAGCTCTCACTTATAAGTGAGAACATGTAGTATCTGATTTTCTGTTTCTACATTAATTTGCTTAATATAATGGCCTCCAGCTGCATCCATGTTGTGCAAAGGATATGATTTTTTTATGGCTGCATAGTATTCCATGGTGTGTATACATCATATTTTCTTTATCCAATCCACCACTGATGGGCCTCTGGATTGATTTCTTGCCTCTGCTGTTGTGAATATTGCTGCAGTGAACATACAAGTGCATGGGCCTTTTTGGTAGAGCAATTTCTTTTCCTTTGGGTCTATACTCAGAATGGGATTGCTGGGTTGAATGGTGGTTCTATTTTTAGTTCTTTACGAGATGTACAAACTGCTTTCTACAGTGGCTAATTTACAGTCCCATAAACAGTGTATAGTTCTTCTCTTTTTTTCTGCAGCCTCACCAACATCTATTAATTTTGGACTTTGAGAAATAGTTTGTGACAACTGGCACAGCTACAGATCAAAGTCTTGCTAAAAGCATCATAGTTTCATGAAATTCCACAGAAATCACAATAATCACAGGGAATGATTAGGAACCAGCCTCCAAACTCTCTCCTTAAAAAAAAAAATAAGTGTAGAAAAAAATAAAACGAATTTCCGGAGGTTTATATTTATAATGGCTAGCCATTCTGACTGCTCTGATATGGTATCTCATTGTGGTTTTGATTTGTATTCTCTGATGATTAGTGGTGATGAACATTTTTTCATATGTTTTTCGCCTGCTTGTATGATTCTTTTGAGAAATGCCTGTTCTTGTCATTTACCCACTTTTCAATGGGGTTGTTTTTGCTCATTGACTTGTTCAAGTTCTTTATAGATTATGGTTGTTAGACCTTTGTCAGAAGCATAGTTTGCAGATATTTTCTCCCATTC